GATGAGATGTATGCTTTATGTGATTGCAGTACTGTGACATGAGTGAAATTCAGATTATATACATAATCTTATATATAAAGGCAGACAGCGCTGATCTGTACAGATGCATAGGCACGTGCACTTATCGATTAGATAACATCAACAACATGAAGGGACAGTGTAAAACAGCAGTATCAGAGCTCAATCTGGAGAGCTGGAGATGCAGCTCAGCTCAAGGAGTAATTGTCCAGTATGCACAAAGCCCTGGGCTCCATCCCCACTACCACACAGACTGAGCACTTGGGACATGAATTCATGCAGCCTAGAAATCTAAGATCCCCTTTGCTACATAGTGAGTTCATGCCCAGCCAAGAATAAATATCCTATCTCAACAGAAGTTTCTATCTGGGAATAAAGTTTAGACAAAGCCCCACAGTCTAATTCCAGTCCAAAGATGAGAGATGAAGGAGCAGCTTTAAGACAGTATTCCTCAAAATTAGGTTCTTCACTCATTCACACAAGACTCACTCTTGCCCTTTCACATCAAGAATAAGATACGTGCATAAACCCAGAGATGTGGTTCATAATGGAGAACTGTAAGAAGGGTCTGGTTACTTCTTCCTGACCAACCTATCCACTTCTTGTAGGCAAGGATAGCTATTACCTACCAAGATACTCCACTCAGACAATGGACTTCAGCTCATCAGGCCAAACATGCTCAGAAGCACTTAGAGACACTGAACTTGTTACAAGGACCTTTGTTTCCAAAGTATTCATTTATTTGACATCAGGATACTAAGAGATAAGAAAACTGATTGATCTTCATCAGGACAGGTGTGTTGTACAAATTTCGTTGTCAACTTGACACATCAGGGATGAGGGAACCTCAATTTTGGAATTTCCTTTCTGTGACTGGCCTCTGGGCATGTCTATGAGACATTTTCTTGATTTTTGAGTAGTGTGGGAGGGCCTAGCCCACTGTGAATGGTGCCACCCCTGGGTAAGTGGTCTTGGGTTATATAAGAAAGCAAGCTGAGCACAGAACAGGGGAGCAAGTCATAAGTAGCATTCCTCCATGGTCTGTGTTTAAGCTGCTGCCTCTAGGATCTAACCCTGACGCTGTGCACTGCTTCCCCCCCGAGACGCACTGTAAGCTGCCAGGTGAAATAAACCCTTTTCTCCCACAAGTTGATTTATGTCATGGTGTTTAGCACAGGAATAGAAAGTAACTAGAACAATAGGTGAGAGGATCAGTGAGGAAAAGAGAGAGTGTAAGACCCAGCCAATCCACAAAGGTGCCTGTGTATCACAGTTCTGAAGTTCTGAGTCTCTTTGCAGATGTTTTCCGCTCTCTTGGAAAATCCATTTCATTTTATTTCTATGCTCTTGAAGGATGATTTACAATCACACCATCTTTAACCACATATTAGGAATAACATTAGAAATACTAATTATAAACATTTATTTCTTGTCTTCTAAATAATTTTTTAAAATCTTGAAGCATATAGACACAAACAATCATCTGTCTTCATAATCTGCCTGGTTCAGGGAAATAGAATATAAATCTTTAAATCCAAAAAAAGATCTGTTTTAGGAACAGATACATAAGGGAAATTAACTTTTGTAGACTTCAAATGCCAGAAGTAAGCATTTGATCCCTGAAGGGAAACAATTTTGAGATACGCTTCACCACGTAATTACTGTCGTTTTCTTAGTTACACTTTCCCTTTCCCTGCAGGCTGTTTCTCTGAATAAACTTACTTTTATTTCTAATTATATCATTATAGAGATGAGAATCAGGTCTAATTAGATAAAAACATGAAAACAATTGTCATTCCCTTATCTCTACAAACTATAATTTGCTACCTTTGAAGGATGCCTCCTTAAAGGAAAGCAGCTTGACTGGTTTGTGGATTGGCTCTATGGAAAAAAGGCCAGGCACTTACATCTTCCCATCTGAGGACCTCCATACACAGATTCTAGTTGTATGTCAGCCAGTCTTCTCTTTCTCTTTAAAGATTAATTTTATTTGTATGAGTGTTTGCTTGCATGTATGTATGTGTACCACATGCATGCAGTACTCACAGAGGCTAGAAGAGGGTGTTAGATCCCCTGGAACTAGAGTTACAGACAGTTGTTAGCTGCTATGTGTGTGCTGGGAACCAGACTTGGGTTCTCTGCAAGAGCATCCAGTGCACTTAACAGCTGAGTTGTCTTTCCAGACCCAGAGCTCTTTTCTTTTGTCGTCTAGTACATTTCTATTCTGTTAACCAACTACTTCACACAGGTGCTATGGATATAAAACAGACTAATTATAGCTCTGCTCTCAGAATAAATGAGGCAAAACTAATTTTCTCACCACGACAAGTGCCATTCCCATATGTGAAGTGCATTTATGGGAGCAGCATGAAGCCTTTTCCCCAATTCCCACAGACACCGCAGAGATCATGCAGATGAATTCCCATAGTCAATGATCCATGACCACTTCATTTTTTTTTATATAACTTGAGAAAGCATTTCTAAATTTTATTTTATTTATTATTTTTATTTATGAGTGTAAGAACACCCATGGGTGTAAGTACACCCATGTCATGCAATGCCATTAGCCACCATATGAGTGCTGGGAATCACACCTGGGTCCTCTGCAACAGCAGTCATTGCTCTTAACCACTGAGCCATCTCTCCACACTCCTCCCTTTTCAAATTCATTTTATTTATTATTTTTATTTATGTGTATGAGTGTACTGTCTGCATGTGTGTAAGGAGAAAGCATTTTTTAACCCCCAGGTTGAGTAGGTTAGGCACTGTATGCCTTCTCAATCATTTCAAATAGTGGAAATGGGTAATGACAGTTCATCAGAATAAGAATTTCTTACCTGGCAAATATGCCTGACCCATGCTAGCATTTCAGCAGCCACTATGAGAAAAAGAGGTGATGAACCCTAGTTTGGGTTGGGTTTGAGGTGAGGCAAAGAGGAAAACAGGTAATCTGAAATGTTTATAAGCATTCTTTAAAAAGAAGATTACAGAAAGTTTGAGTGTATGTGCAAATGTGCATGTGTGTACATGTATGTGTATGCATGTGTATGTGTGTCTAATGCCTGTGTGTTTGTGTGTGCATGTGTGTATGTGCATCCAGGTCTGTGTGCATTTGTCTGAGTGTGTGCGCACCTGTGTCTGTGTTTGTGCTCAGAAGGATAGATAACATCACCATGTTAGGAACATTTTCTCGCTACTTCACACTCATGGCTATTGACTGCTGTGCTTTGTCTGAGTTGTGAGCATAACAGCTACTGAATTCTTATGTACAAACTACTGACTACTATCTAAAGGATAGCTTAAGAGGAAGAGAAATTTTAAGAAGAAACAGTAAAGCACTGACACCATAAATAGAAAGGAAAGAGATCAGGAGGAAGAAACATTTTGAGGAAACAAAATAGACACAGGATGGAGGTCAGAGACAAAGAACAAGAATCAGAGGATAAAGACCTACATCCACAGTAAGGAGGACAAGAGGACAGAACCCTACATCTATGGGTGAGGAGAACCAGGGCATGAAGACTTATATCCACAGTAAGGAGGACCAGAGGTTGGAGACAAATGTCCATGGTGAGGAGTCCCAGAGGATGGAGACCTATGTTCACGGGTAAGGCATTTAGCCAGTCTTTAAAATATCCTGACCTATTTATTTCATGGCAAACTATGTACTTTTAACATTACTTATTTTATTGTTATTCAGTATACATGAATAATTTACACTGATTTGTTTCCAAGTGCTGTAATGAGTATAGAGGATCATGGCCTCCCTGTCCTGAAAGTAACTTAATGTGATTATGTCTAAGTCTCAGGGTTGGAGGAAGGTCTAGGTCAGTGGATTCTTCAGGGTGGTTCATATTAAACAGTGGAGTTTTCAGTGTTAATTACTTAAGCATTACCCTTTGAGATTCATATTCAGAAAGTTAACTTTGGTAATCTGTAATTCTAACAAGTTCTTTGGAAAAATGGTACATAGCCAGTTTGGAAAATAAAGCCAACCACATTTTGTATTCTTAAGAATCCTCAAGGATTAGTATGATCATGTCTTTATGCTTTGTATTTAAAAAAGTCAGAATACAAAAGAGATTTTGAGATGTCTTAAAATGACTTAAATGAGCTGGGTGTGGTGGTGCATGCCTTTAATCCCAGCACTCAGGAGGCAGAGGCAGGTGGATCTCTGTGAGTTCAAGGCCAGCCTGGTCTACATAGTGAGTTCCAGGACAGCGGGGGCTACAGGGAGACCCTGTCTCAAAAAAGACAAAAAAAATGATTTAAATATAATCACAATGTGAACAATAAGACAAATCTAGGATAAAAATTTGTCTTATTTCCATGTTTTCAGAATAGTCATCTACTATTGAACATACAATTTATCTGCTGTAAAGATTTGAATTTATCCAAGTAGCCAAAATCTAATAGGATTATCCACCAGCTTGTTCATGCAATCTTTTTATATTTATCACCAAAGAAGTTGAATTCATTTCTACAATAACAAAAGCTAATTTGAATATTTAACTTATGTATTTACTTTCACAATTAGCTATGTTTAGTGTACTAAGTTTTCAGCATCCAATTATCAAAAGGCAAGTAGTTGTTTATCTGTGGTAACTGCTTCATAGTCCATATGTATTGCAAATTTTATTCACTATTAATGTGTGTGTGTTCTTGTGAGTCATGTGTATGTGTTAGTAAAGGTATGTGCATGCTGCAGTACATGTGTGAAGATCTGAGGACAACTTTTCAGGAGGGAGTCCCACTGTGGGTTGTGGACTGAACACAGATCATCAGGCTTGCTCAGCAAGTACTTTGAGCCATTCCACCAAACCTGGATATATATTTTTATTTGACACATGAACATCGACTTAAAAGTTTCTAAAGCTATGCCATTCCATGTGCCTGAAGTTCATTTTCATTTTTTAAGGAGATCACTGTGTGATGCCCTGGAAATGCGTGTTTCACATACATACTCATGTCTGTGGGGTTACCTGTATGACACTGTCTCCAGGGCTCATGTCTGTGTAAACAAAGACATCATAGGAGATTTCAGGGAAGGCTGGAGTATTATCATTTGCATCCATCACTCGGATATTGACCACAACTGGTTCACTTTCTTGTATACCATCAAAGGCTGTGATCTGTGGAGAAACAAAAACATATCTAATAGAGAGGTCAGGTAAACGTAGTGCTGAGCCCGCTCCTATAACCAACAGACATTTTAAAACAATATTTGCAATTTTAAAAATGTGCTAAATTATTTGGTCAATGAAATGAACTAGTACAATATATTCCAAAATGTTATGCTATCTAAGAAGCAATTACTGAGGAGTCTATTTTATTTTAATTCATTTGATTCCAAGCACATATTTGACATTTAAATACATTTTGTTAATAAAGAATCTTGAAATGAGGGGCTGGAGAGATGGTTAAGCAGTTCAGAGCACTGGCTGCTCTTGCAGATGACTCAGGTTCAAATCCTAACACTCACATGGTGGCTAACAACGTGTATAATTCCAGTTCCAGGGGATCCTGTACCCTCTTCTGACCTTCAAGGGCAGAGCAGGACACAGGTGCACCTACATGTGTGTAGGCATAACACACACACACACACACACACACATAAAATAACTCGTACACATAAAATTAAAAATAAATAAATTAATTAAAAAGAATCTTGAAATGAGGATACCAATTCAAATGCAAAAATGTTTCTCAAATTGGCAGCCATTTCTCATAACAAGCTATACAAAATATCTTAGAGGCTTGAATTGAGAAAATAACATTGCTGATCCCTAATTTTTTTGTTGTGGTTTGTGAGACAGGGCCTCCTGGAGCTCAAGCAAGCCTCAGTCTACTGTCTAGCTGAGGACGGCTGTGAGCATCCATCTCATCCTCCTGCCTCCACCTCCCAAGTGCTAGGATTATAATCAGCACCACTGCACTTGGTTTATGTGATGCTGAGTATTGACCCTAGAACCTCATGTATACTGGGAAGCAGTCTACCAACTGAGATATAGCTCCAGTCCAAGTTACAATTTAATATTTAATATACTACTGGGAATGTTGCAATCAAAACCTTCTCCAGACATCGCCAGATGATCTCTGGAGGGGACAATCACTGCTAGTTGAGAACCACTGGCCTCAGACAGCAGTAAAATGGAAAGTGAAGCCACAACATAGAGGTAAAACAATTCTTTATCACGTGGATTTTACTTTACATCCTTCACTAGTGTATGGAAAAAAACTTGAACATATTTTTATTCAGTGGGAAAATATTAAAATATTGGCACAAAGTATCAAATATGTAAAGGAAAATGAACATAGTGAAATTTTCTCTTACTCTACATGCCAAGTTTTTACCCTCAAATCACTGACTCGGTGTTCTTTACCGTCAGTTTCAGCTACATAAATACAGGCATGTATATGAAATAATTTACCAAAAAGGTATATGTCTGCTGTTCCTCTCTGTCCACAGGCTGGAGGAGGGTGAGGTAGCGGGTGATACCAGTCGGTGTGACGGTGAAGACTGACGTGTAATCGTTCAGGAAAAGATGAAGCTCTGGGTCTTTTGTCTTTGAAAAAAAGAACACATCATTTAAAATGTTGAACATACAATGCCAATTTTAGTTTTTTGCCTGAAAATTCATTATACATAGACCACTATATTAAAAATTCCTAAAGGAATATGAGCATTGGCTCATAAGTAATCAAAATTATGCGAGTATGATTCACAGCATTTAGAAATAAGTACTAGCACAATTGTGAACAAGGAAGATGACAAGGAAGGAAGAAGACTGGGAAACAGCCTAGAAACTGGTTCCTGTGGGTCATTTAATAGCAGCATTTTCTGTAACTTGATTGCATTAAAATTTAAGAAATCATATTAAGAATGGAATATTTTTGTCCAGAAATTTAGCAGTAAGATTTTACAGCCAGTTTGTTAGCAGCAATAAACTGCACATATGCATACTACTGGACTTCTCTCAGTTATAATGTAAAACAGAAATAAAATTGGTGATGCATTATTCATTACACATAAATATTATGCCTGCTACTTCTTTCTTATTTTAATACTATAAAGGTTCTTCAAAAGAAACACAATATTTTAGCTAAAATATTTCAAATGGTTTGCTTGAAATATATATAAACGTAATATGTGTGCCTGTCAAAGAGCCTAGCAAAAATTAGAGTCACAGGGGAAAATATTTAAAATTTTCAAAACTAAGATAATTATCTTGGCACTGGAAGTCATTCACAGCTTCCCTCCCCACCCCACGTTGTTTACTGTGATTAAGAGAAGGAGCAGACACAAGGTGGGAGCTCAGTTTGGTGACTGCACAGTAGGCTAGGAAGGCAGCTTCAGCATCTGAAGGGACTATGGACAGCCTGGGTGCTCCCCAGGATGACGAAAAGGAAGAGGGTGGATGAAGAATGAAGCATGTATACAGGCATTATCACTCATATGTCATTCATAACACATCATTCATAGTAGGGTATGAAATATGTTTCAGAGAACACTTCTCTGCCTCATATCAAGTGCAGATGGTTAAATGTGATAATTTAGAAAATAAAGAGTTTACATTTTTTTAAAATTTAAGTAGCACACACTATTGGGTACACATTGAATCATACTTTATTCTGTACAGGTTTTCCCAATGGCACAATTGTGTATATTTCCAATAAACCTTGAACCTCCAACACACTGTGCACTCAGATCCTAGTCTATGCACACTTCTGTGCCTATGATTTGGACTTCAGGTTGGCCTGCTAGCCTCATCTCAGAAAAATAAAACATAGTACTATTGAAAGTGACTCTTTCTGGTCTATTTATTCATTTACCATTTAAAAAATATTTTTATTTATTTTTATTTTATGTGTATGAGTTTATTGCCTGCATGTTTGTAAGTGCACCCATGTTGTGCAATGCCTATGGAGAGCAGAAGAGGGTGTATGGTCCCCTGGAACTGGAGTTATGGACACTTGTTAGCCGCCATGTGGGTGCTGGGAATTGAACCCAGGTCCTCTATAAGAGCAGATGGTGTTCTGCCTATGCAGGTCAGAAGAGGGTATCAGATCCCCTGGAACTGGAGTTACTGATAGTTGTTAGCTGCCATGTGGGTGCTGGGAACCAAACCCAGGTCTCTGCAACAGCAGCCTGTGCTCTTAATTATTAGCTGAGTCATCTTCTCCAGCTCCCCAGTCTATTTATTTTAAAATAGTCAAATCTTGCTAGGCGTGGTGGAGCATGTCTTTAATTCCAGCACTTGAGAGGCAGAGGCAGGTGGCTCTCTGTGAGTTTGAGGCCAGCTCGGTCTACATAGCAAGTTCCAGGTCAGCTGAGGCTACAGGAAGACCCTGTCTCAAAAAGACCAAAAAAAAAAAAA